TTTTTTTTTTTTTTTTTTTGTCAAAATATAACAAATTCTTGTGACGTTAATATGATATAACTATTCAACTTTTAAAACACAACAAGACTAAGATTGTTACTAAATGTATTTGGTGAAAGGCATCTAAATTTTAATTTCGATGAAAATGATTATAAGATAAGATATAAAAAAATAAACTTTTATTTAGGATACCAAAAGAAATTTTAAAACATAAATTGGACAGTTAAACTTCGATAATATTCGAACTCTTCCTTGTTTTATATAAAAACGTGTTTGCATAAGATATTAAAAGAATTAAAAATTGAAATATAAGCGAACTCTGTCTTAACTCTCTCATAACCTCCATAGGAACTACAGTGTCGCTTAATGTGACTTTTCCTCTACAAAAAAAATAGAAAATACTGAGTATAAAAAACACCTAGGAAGTTTCTACATGTCTAAGCTCCTGCATGCATCATAATTAAAAATGTTATGTTGTGCTATGTATGTTATGTGATGACCTATAATGTAATGTTATGTATGTATGTGATGTCCTATTATGCCACGATATATATGGTATGAAATGTTATATATGTTATGTCATGTCGTGTGAAACCATATTATAGATTATATTATACTAATAATGATGCATGGTGAAAACCATGATGAGTACTATGCATACATGTCTCATATGTGTACTATGGCATGAGTAAAAGAAAAAATGAAATGAATCTTAAGATTTTAAGTCATGGGACCTCATGCATTTATGTATCTTATGTGCATCATGATACTTCTCCGTTATGTTATGTTAGTACGTATGTGTATTTTCGATATTTATTTTTGTCATGATATCATATGGGTCTTTCCCTCCATGATGTTGGGCAACGCGCCAGTGCATTTAACACAACGAGTCAAGCCTTAGGGGTATGTATACGAGTCCGCCTTTGTGGGTCCATATGACGTAGGCCGTGTCTGCCTAGACTAGACCGGAAGTTTTAAAGAATATGTCTCATCATGTATGTATATGTTTGCATTATCTCACTCCAATAATAGAGTTACTAATTATTTTTTAAAATACTCTAGCTACATAGTACTTTTATATTTTAGGTAAATGTGCCACTACACATAACAGTGATTTTGAAATGGCCATGAAAGCTAGGTTATGATAGTAAAAATGCATTGTTTTTCTTCATAGGTCGTGCAAGATTCTCATCTTCGTACTAGAATTTCTCATATTCGTACTGAAATTCATGTTAATGTTTCTTTTCTCACATTGATGGTACATTTTATTTCTTATTTTTAAATTGAATAAATAAATCCGTAGTATAATTTGAATAATTAATGGAAAGTGACCAAAAATAATCGACTAGAATGATTTGATTGATTGAAAACTATTTATTGTCTCACACATCAAGAGTAATTAAAATAAAAAAAGGATGACCTTTAAAAATTGGAAGAAATCACTACTTACTCAAAAAAAAAAAGTCAAACTAGTGGACAAGCAGGAAAGAGAGGTGTGTCACACATACAATAACTCCGCCAACCAATACATTTTATAATAGAATATAAAAACTAAATTAGTCAATTTAATGACTTTTATTTCTTCCTTTTTTGACTCTTAATTTAAACTTTGTTCCCCATTTGTAAGAATAAAAATAAAAAGTCAAACCTTCACCATTTGATCCATTCAAAAACATTATATTCGATCCATTCAAAAACATTATATTTCCTCCATTTGTTCAGTTCATTCTTAATCCATCCCAAAGAAGGAGGGTAGTTTTGCTCGTCAATCACTAATCTTAAATTTCAATCATACAAATTATAATTAAAAAATCGTGTTTAGGTTAAATTATTTATATTGGTATAAGTTTCATATTATATTTTTCTTTACGTATTAAATAAATTATTGAACGATATACATATGTCAACTAGATGAAAATACTTAGCTCGTATCAATTATTTTCGTTAGGGACCAGTACGACTAATAAATTAAAGTACGAGAAAAAAAAACTATAAAAAATATGGGGATGAAATTGACAATATTATAGAGATTCAAATCTTTTAACTAGGGCTAAGATTCCCGATTAATATTTCTATTTCTCATAGAATATGTTTTAAGTTTATAATTAATTTCATCCAAATAAATTTAATTTTTTTAAAATAATAATTATTTTAAATTAGGTTTCGAAGTAATAATACCCTAAATTATAGAATTAATAAGACAAAAAAGAAATGCCCAGAAGTCTTGATCCTTTTTTTGGGCAGCAAAATTAGACTTTTGAATTATGGAATTTGAAGCTCTTCTTTGGTGCTACCTTTCCAATCTTTAAATTACAATATTACAAAATCAAACGCTTAGGACACATAAATATGACACATAAATATGACAGATCGCCATATGCCACTTTTATTTTCAAAGTAATAATAATAATATCAAAAGTTCAAATTTAGTCCATTTACAAAATCCATTATTTTGATTTGATGCATACACCAAATTCAAGAAACAATACCAAACCAAAATGGTCATATCATTCCACCTCAGGTTTGTCTATCTATGCTGATTCTGCTTCTGCTTCTCCACCAAGCTCCACTCTTAGGTTGTCATATGGATACACTTTCGGCGCCTGATTAAAACAAGCTCCACTTCTTAGTCTTCATTAATATGCAAACACCAAGGAGGTAAACAAACGTATTGAATGGAACCCACCTTAAAGAAACACAAAGCCAGGCTCTACAAACAACCACAACAAGAATATAAACCACGTTTCATCTATCTCGAACCTTTACTTTTTTTTTCTTTGTCAAACCTACACCCATGTCCCTTTCCACAAAGGCACGGAATTTTACGCTGCCTAGAAGGTGAAATTCCTTGGTCTGGCTTCTTATCTACTAGAGATTAATCATTTAACCTTGGGGCCACGGCAGTTTTTTCTATGCAAACACGAGTAAAAATGTCAACCATATTTTCTTAGGACGATCCTTCATTGGGATATGGGCTGGAAGGAAACAATAGTGCTTAGTCCCCCTTGTAGGAGGGATGACCGAACAGGTAGCAGCCCTCTCAAATTTACCTTCCAAAGACTTGGCAATGTAGCTCAATCAAAGGAGTTCACCATTTGTCATTGCTGGTCACAATGAGGAAATTGAAGTTAGGAGGAATATATCTGAAATCGAGATGGAGTATATTGACTCCAAGACCTGATTAGCTACTAGCAGCCTAGCACTCAGGAGTATTCTAGATGCCAGATAATACTCCACAGCAGAAGCAAGAACAGACGAGAATCATCTTGGACAAATTGGAGGTTAATTTTTCTTTTGATTTATCTAAAGTTCAGCTGATGACCAAGAACGAGTTAGTGTTGTTGACCAATTGAATTAGAGAGATTAGAGAGATAGTGAAGTGCGTTAGAATCAAGCTTGGTTAGCAAAAGTCATTGGGAATGGCTATAGTTAACCATTTTAAGGGGAGGGCCTTGACCATGAACTTCAGATATGGTGGGTGGAAAATCGCCGTGTCAATGCAGTTATGGGACACAAGGCTGGTGGCTGAAGTTCACAATTTAGCATTTCATAGAGGCCAGGTCATTGCGATAGATGTTTCCCTCCATTCTTAAGGTGGTCATAGGGCTAGCTTCACCATGTGGACGGTTGATACAATGGGGGAGATCTACGGTGAGGTTCGTAGGTGAAATAATACAAAAATGAATACAGGAATGAAATTTTAAATAAAAATTCCTCCTTTCTTGTCAGACTCTTATCTTGTGCCTTCATGGTTGGAAAAATGGGAAGAGTTGGTTGGTAGTGGGTTTGATTTTAGCTTTGGTTTTCCCAACCACCGAAGATGTCAATATCAGCTAAAAGTGGTTTAAGTTATAAGTATCTTAGTTTGACAACAACCTTCCTTTCTTTTCTTTTTTTTTCTTTTCTTTTTTTTTTTAACTCTCTTCAAGGTTGATTTTGACGTCTAACACAGGTATCCAAGTGTATTCTAGTAACCTGGTGAGGTGTTTCAACCAGCAAATAGTTGTTTACCCTTTGGTTTCTAAGAGGGCATGAGTAATTCGGATGAATCATTTGAATCAGACTCATTATTTAGAGGAGATTGTGCTGAGCCAAAAGAAAAGAAGGCCCATTCTGCTAATGCACTCGGTAGGCTGGAAAAGCCAAAGGGCATCCTAATGTCACTCCTAATGCATCTATCGAGTACGTGATCAGCTTATTATTTGTGGCCATATCTCCTTGCACGATCTTTCTCTTGCAGTTCTTATTTCCACCTCCCTTGTGTCCCTTCGTCTGCCTTAATTCCACTGTGTTGCCTCTCTGAAAGGTTAAGGTCCTAGGAAGGCCATATTTTTTAGTGGCAGATCGTTCTTGGAAAAGTAAATACCCTGGATCATAATTAGAGGCATCGTTCCTTCTTGTTCAGTACTTCGTATCTTATACAGACGGGCTTCTGAGGACCTTAACCATATCCTGAGTTTTCAATGCTAACTTACTTTGGACCAACATTGTTGAGAAAAGGATGATAATGAACTTATCGGTTCTAAGCCATCTCTAGCGATGAATCAACAATCCGAAGTGCTTTTCTTGCATATTCTTGATATAACAGCTGGAGGATTTGTTTAGGAAGTAAGCAGCCCCTTTGACATTTCTTCGTTTGCAAAGAATTCTCGATGCGAAAACATAGAGACAAAAGGCTGATCTTTAGATAGGAAAAATAGTGCATCTGCAGGGTCTTAAATGAATTTGTGGGGTTATTTCAGATCTGTTTGAAACGAAATAGAAATTGCTGCTCGAGTATAGAGGAAGTTCTCTTGAATCCTCCCTTTTGAGATAAAGGTAGAAACCTTTGGCATGCTCTTTTTTTTCTCTTTTCTTTTCTTTTTTTTTCTTTTTTGTTCTGATTCGTGGAGTATTTGCCTAGAGATAATTTGTACAAGTTTCAGAGGTTTTGAGAGATCTCGAGAAGAGGGGTGGAATAATGTGAAGTTTCACGTTCCTCCAGGGGGTTTAGCTCTAGGGAGCTTTGCGATTAACCATTAGGATTCATTCTTTTGGATTGGAGTCCATTCCTCCATAAGTGAGGATGGACCTTCATAAAGGGCTAGTTTTTCAATAACCCCTTTCTTTTGTTTGCATATTCATTATACTCAATCAAATGTTGTTTCTTTATATTAAAAAAAAAAAAAAAAAAAAAAAAGTGCTAATGAAGCAGAAGTTCTTCAAGGGGAGGTTAACTTTTCTCTTTTTCAACCAGAGTACCAGCTTTTATTAAGATAAATGAAAGTGCAAACAAAACAAAAGGACGTAGGCCAAATGAAATTAAAAAAAAAAATTACAAAAAAGATCTCTAAATATTAATAATCAAAGATAAATGGAAGTTAAAAAGAACAATTTGATTATAAATGCAAAAGAAGTCATTAAAATATGTCAAACAGTACATCTCTTTCGAAAACGTACTTAAAATCACAGAAAAAATCTTTCTTCTAATCAAGGACATACTTGAACCTCAAAAAAGCGATCTATTTCTTTCCAATCAAAGACCTATTTAAACCCCAAAAAAGATGGCCTCAAGAAGCTTGTTTGGAAGAAATTTTTCCTCACTCGACTCTATCTCTGACCAAACATATGCTTCTTTGAAAGACAATTGGAAGCCCTCTGCTTAATTTTGGGACTTGTGCTGAAAGATGAGGAAATTCTAACAGGGGTAACATGAACCACTTGCTGTCTTTTATTCATTTAACTCAATCTGAAGATATGAGGTCTGAGACCCCCAATAGTTAATACTTACGTTAAAAGGGGTAAAGAGGGAAATAAGTATATTCTGTATCTGTGGGATTGGGGCTTGCAGTGTTATATTTTGTATAGTCAGCCTGCGTTATACAGCTGTAAGGAGAGATCACCACCTTCTCGAACTGGTGGATGCCCTTGTGTATTGAACTTTTAGAAAGTGAAGAAGTGTTCTAGTAGGGGAAATCCTTGCAGTGGGCTAATTTTCTATCAGATCCTTGCTGCTGGCTTTGGGTCCAATGTTAGGAGATCTTTTCTTGTGATCAGAGGCGATCTGAAATGATATTTACCCAAACAGAGCAAAATTTTCCTTTGGATGCTTTGTGATCATGTCATAAATACTCTTGAAAAATTGTAACGGGCAGTTACCATATATGGTTCTCTCCCAAATTGGTGCATCCTTTGCAGAAAAGATGAATCACAAAGCCATTTATTTTCCACTTCTTTTGCATCTAGGTTTTGAATTGAGATGTTATCCTCCTTCCACTGGTCCATGGCTCTTCAAAAGGACCTAAAACTCTTCTTTCTCTTCCTCTCGTGGATCATCCTTTCAAGAAAGCACACCTCATTCAGGCCTTCTTTTGGTCTACTTGGTTGGAGAGAAATCAATGGATTTTTGTGGGAAAAGATTGTAATTATTATAGATTCCTTGATAATGTCATCTATCTAGCTATATTTTGGAGTAAATTACAAATTCTTTTCCATTCTTACCGTTTTGCTTCTCATTTTTTCAAGTGAAGATGTTTATTGTAACTCTTTTGAGTTGGGGTTGTCTCTTCGTTGTAAATTTCATAAGCCCCAAAAGGGATCTATTTCTTTCCAATCATATTATGATATTAACCAAAAATGACGGTGAGGGAATTGCCCAGGCTAGCCTCAAACATGTCTTTTATTCCCAAAGGTAGATTCAAGATGATTTTCTCCGACATCCAACGAAGAATACTTCTCTATGTTAAGAATATGAATAAAATAAACACATCGTAACCTATCAACTTAAACTTTTGGGTCTAGTCTAGTGATGTTTCAATATGGTATCACAACAAAGATCAGGTATTTAAAGTCTCTAATGTCATTCTTTTCTCTGATTGATATTAATAGTTACTTGCTGGGCTTCATACTAATTTTCAAGCCCACAAGTAAGGAAGAGTCGTAAGAATATGAATAAATATGTTATATCATAATCTATCAACATAACCTTTTGAATCAGCGGTGATCTACACCCTAGACCATCAAAATACCAAGAGTCTACCAATAGCAACCCCACGTGCTTGAAGCAAAAGGAAAAACTAAGGAAAGAGAATTGTACAAAATGTGGGCAAAGAAGAAAAGAAGGAACAATCTCGATAAATCTAATGGGTTAAACGTTAATTCTCTTAAGGCTACTGGCCATGCAAAGAGATTATCAAAAGAATCATAACGAGGATCTTTAAATTAACAAAGGATGAATCCACAAAATTTCTTTTGAACTTCTATGCATGTTTCCAAGCAAACTTCAATGTCAAATGTTCTCTTTGCACAACACAGGAATCCTCCACACTTGTCTCCAATGGTTATAATATTACCTCCTTCCATATAACAATTGGTAAGCCTCTGGATTTAATCTGCACTCCACGACAAAGGTATAACTTGTGCTCTACCATGAATCTTCTTTCTATATATATATATATATATATATATACATATATATCTATACAAATCTTTCACTAAGACTTCTTTTTATATCTTTTAACTTCACCACAAAATCTTCTGCCTCCACACACCCAGCAAAGGCACATAAACTATCTACTAACCCTCCAACATTACATTTTAATAGTGCAATGTCAGCATTCATAGGATTTTGAATGAAATTTTCATTGATTTTTCTCCTTCGTTCTTCAAAGTTTCGAGAAAATCAAACCAATCATCATGAAAACAACATTTGGTAATGATAATCATTTTTTCCCAACTTAATTTGTTGAGATATTGATTTCCAAACCTACAGAAAGGTGGCTCCTAGAAGTTCTATTCAGGTGGAAAATGTCCAAAAGGGCCAACATTTTATGGTCTTGTGCGGTTAGAGCACTATTACGGCACATTTGGCTAGAAAGAAACCAGATGATCATAGAAGAAAAGTCTTCTTCTTTTGAGTTTGTTTTAGAAGTGTACAGCTTATTGCTTTTAATTGGGGGTATAGTCACAGGAAATTGTTTTGTAATTACAACTTCACAACAATCTTTAACAATCGAAAAGCATTCTTTCAACTTGTTCTCGGCGAGGTCTCCCTCACCCCAGGCCCCTAGCTTGTTCCACCCTTTATTTCTCCTTTTAATACAATGCTTGTTTCTAGTTAGTCATCTTAAGAGTTATTTCTCTAGCTCAGCCCATGTTTCCAGCCCTAAATCAAAGAAACAAAATGCTATATACAAAGAACAATAAGCACAAAGATTACATGAGAACAAACACTTCACTGTGCATGACAATGAACGATAGATTTTCCCCAACAGTCAATCACATATGCAGGTGAGATCTCAAACAAATCCAACAGAGAAGTACAGTTCAGTAAACTTACAAATGGAATCCTAGACGCTTTGTCGTTCCACACAGCCAACAATCCCAGAGATGCAAAGAATCCCAATCCCCCACATAACCAACCCAAGGCTTCGTACTGAAAAAGAGAGAAGTATAAGAAGACAAACAGGATAAAATACAGAATCATGAACAGAACCTACACACCTTCCCAACCGTATCTGCAATGCGATCAATACAGGGCTCAGGAAAAGGAGTTCCATTATCCCAAACCAGTTCGTCGTTTACAGGAAGCTAAAAAAAAAGAGGAAAAAATGATTGATCCCACAAAATCTGAGTCAAAGGATCATTGATTTAGCCATAAATTTGGGAGGTCGAAGGGTGAAATGCTTACGGGCTTATCGGGGACGATGTGTTTTCCAACGGGAAGGCCCATGCCGGAGCGAAGGCGAAGAGATGAAGCGATTGAGCGACCAACAACGCCATTTCCGCCAAGGACCTTTGAACCCAAATTGCTCAGTCTGCCTGCCATTTTCGGTGATTTTCCCTCTTCCAAATCCCAGGGCGTCGTCTGTTCCTTCTTTCGAGTTCTTATTCTTCAGAACAACCAGAGCACGACCGTACGAGGGCTGAAATAGATGCCCTTCGAAAATTAGCCTCAATCTAAGTTTCTTGGATTTTTTTTTTGTTTTCTTTTTTCATCTGGAGTTTCTTTTGGATTAGATCATACTTTGGTCCTTTCTTAATTTTCTAACGTGTTATGAAATAGTATTTTATTAATATAAATTTGTTGGACTTTATGCGAGGTTTGTCTTCTTCAACTGAACATAACTGAAGCGTATCCAAACTTGTTCAGCCACATACCATGTACACGTGTATGTTCAATCATTTGCGACCTAACTGACTTGCCTCTATATTAGGCCAAGTCATTCAGCTCGATCTTGTCACTACTCAGGGCCAAGGTATCTCAATGTAATGTCGCATCTCAACTCTTCATCCTAGCTCCCAATTAACACGTTCATTGTGTCTTGATGTCATCCTAAGTCCTGAGATGTCATTGACCAACTTAGCTCACTTGGTCATGGTCATCGAGAATGGACCTATGTGTCGTTCATATCATTGTGACATTCCTAACATCCATCATCAGGGTTCTATTGAGACATTGGACCCTCCCTTTTCTATGCTAGTTCATTTACGAATTTCGCTCCAAATAGTGGGTGCATAATCCAACCTTTGACACATGGGCGGGTGCACAATGTCGACGCATCTGTATCGTTTGACATTGCCCTTGAAAGAACCATTTAAAAGGAAGTCACTCAAGACACTCATCTCGCAACGCTCGCACTCACTATGACACATACATGTGCCATAGGGTAGCTCACTTTGGGCACAGGGCCTAAGGGTAGTGGAGAGCTAACATCATGCCTCCCATTATGGTACACTCTAAGGCATTTTGTGTCAGGCAGGTGTATACATGACTTTGGCAGATGGTCATAAGGTGTCGGGAGCTTTCGCCTTGTGTCCAATTGACACCAAATTTGGCAAGTTTTCATATTCATACGGATAGACTTGACTCCATAAGCGTATGTCCAAATTTCCTCCAAAACTCCGACCCTTTATCAAGCCTATCTTTGATAAACTTGTCTATGTGGTGCCTCCATCTTGCTTATGCCTCGTCTTAGCTTCAATGAGCATCACTTTAGCGTGTTAAATGATATATTGTCCTCCTCAATTGCATCATGGACTTGTCTGTCTTGGCACTCATGTGGCCGAATGGACTCCACTTGAGGGTCGCTGCTTTGCTTGTTTCGACGCAAGGGTCACAATCTACTCTATTCATAGTATGATTGTGACACTAAACATGTTGATCATATGATTAGGGACTTAGCTACGTTTGAATAATTGTATTTGCATGACTTAAGTATCAATAACTATGTTGCATGAGTACCATATGTGCATGTTAGGAATTTGTGAAGCATTATGCCTCTAATTTATGCTTATGAACCTATCATATTATGTAGCAGGTACGAAAAATATCACTGTTATAGGAGCCATTAGGGGTTCATCAAATGAACTCTAGTGGCGATTAGGTCTCATGTACACCTATAGTTGGATGGATGATAGGTTTGGAGGGCATCTCGTCCATTAGTCCACTCTACCCCCCATGAGCTCTTGACCAATGCACGGAGTGCTAAGTTAGGAATATGAGTATTCATGATCATCGGGATGAGCTATTAGTCCACTGTGCACCCGTCCATGTGTCAAAGGTTGAACCGACTCCGAAAAGACATCCTTCATTAATAGCAATACTAGAGGCAAAATGAGTAAGAGTATACATTAAACCCGAAAACTTGAACCGACTCCGCCCAAAATATAAGAGCATTTTATTTTTACTTTTAGGAAGAAAACATTTAAAACTTTAGAACCTACTGAAAATTGTCAAAGAGAAAGAAGGAAACTGTATTCATCCGAATTGCCCAATGGGGACCGAGGCTGGAGCAATTGCAGAGCGAAACTCCATGGAAGCACTAGCGAAGCTCGAATACCGCCAGACTCTAATCATCAATCGAATTTCGAAGCTCGAGCTCGCTTATCTTCCAAATCTCGACTCGGAACCTTCTCCTATTTCCTCTGACAAGGCAGATGGCGACACCGTGTCTCGACTCTCCACCATTCTTCGAACCAACGCTGTCAATGACTTCTCCTTCAACAGGGTTCCCTCTGATTACTACGATTGGTCTCTCGAAGCCCGACGGGACGTTCTTAATGCCGCTTCGGTGGACCATCTTTGCAAGAGCATTGTTCTGGTGCGTTTTGGAATCGGATTCTTTTTTTGCAATTTCGATATGTGATTTTGTATTGACGATTTCGAGTGCGTATGTTTATTGCTTTTAGGCCTTTTTCATTAGTTACTTTTGGGTTTGAAGGAATGTGTAGAATTGGATTAATGAGAGGAAATGTTTGGATCGAATGATGGCGTTTATTAAAATGCCTATCTTCCTGAAAAAATTATTTCAGGGTGGAACAGTATGGCCAATGATTTTGCACCATTTGAAACTTATTGGATGCGAGAGAACTAAAAAATGTATTTCAAATCTTTATTGAATGGTTATTAGAGGTAGACATTTTGAACCTGAATTCAACGGTCATTAGAGAGCAGTCAGTGGCTTATTCGTTGAATCTAGTCTTTTTTTCCTCTTCCTGAGTTATAACACTGTTGGGGAGGGACAAACATTTTCAGCTAGTTGCAAATTGAAATGAATTGAACCAAGCATTTATGTTGTGCTTTATTCAAGTCCTCATGTAATCATACTTCCAATGTCATTAGTTCTAGTTGAGATTCTAGCTTTCTGTAATGAACATGACATTGCATTACATTACATTGTGATCATATATGCTCTCGAGAATTCCTATGTTTTATGCTGGGTTGCTTGAGACCATCTCTTTGGTGGCAAACTTGGGGCTTTTTGATAGCATCATGGGATCTTTGTGGAAAGCTTTGGTGTCGAAGAAGGAGGATTTGAGTTTTTTATGGTGTCGAAGAAGGAGGAACTGAACTGTATTTGTATGATCTTCTCGGAGATTGTGCATTTTGTAGTTTTTGTTACTCTTATATATAATTTTTTTCTGTGCTAATCGGAGAGTGTGTTATCTTCTTGAAAGGTTTCTATTTATCCTTATCTTAAATGAATTGATTTGGGAAATTTTCATAAAAGAACCAAATTAGTCTTACCATACATTAGTATTTTCAGCTTCCAAATAGTTCTCGGCTTCTGCGTTCAAGGATTTTACTTTTAACAAAGTAAATTTTTCTCATCAACAATTGAAAGGAAGAGAAAGGAGGGAAAGAAAAGGCCTTATTTTGTTCCTTTTGCATATATGTTGTTGATATAATTTGACAATTGTTAGATGTATGACTGTCAGTTTAAAGATGATAGAAAACTTTCATTGTTAGCTACTGTATGGCTTATGGCATCCATTTTTAATCGAATTTTGGTTGATAAGAACTCGACATTTATATATATTATATACCATATACCATATCTAGAAGTTCAATTAGGACCTCTCCTTCCTAGGCCATGCTTTCGTAGATGCTAAAACGTAACTGGGATCGCGTGTACTTCTGTTTTGTACTGTCAGGTAAATACTCAAGCCCAATCCCATGTCGTTGATTGCAGTAACCGCAACAATTCAAAATACTATGTTGTTGTTGTTCAGGTATGCCTTCCTTTCTAATTTTCTCTAAACAGTTTGATATAGTGACCTGTATTCTCCTCTTTTAAAACATAACATTTCTTTATTTAGTATTCTGCTAAATTCAATGCTGAAACTGTTAGAAGCTTCCTGTATTCACTCAACGATGGAAAGATACCAAAAAAGAAATTCAACTGTAAGTTTTCTATTATCCCATTGGTGATGCCTTAATGGTTCTAAATGTGGTAATCCAAATTTTTAGTTTACTTGATTCATTAATTGTTCATATATTCACATCCATGCTTTGATTAAGTTAAGTGAGAAGGAGATCACGACACGATTCAAGCACCATCACTTTGTGCATGCTTTGATTAATATAGATGAAAGAACAAGAGGAGGCCATAAAAACCAAGACCAAACCAACCACGAGAAAAAATTACTGAAAAAAAAAGGAAAATCTCTAAACAAATTATACTTGAAATGCCAAGGGGAGGCACTAATGTTTCAGATACTATAGTTGCTTGAAGTTTTCTTATTCATGGTTTCCTATTTACACAGTGAGACTTGCTCCAGAGGAGATATCTGCAGAGCTAACTGGATATGTGCATAATGCAGTGACATGCATTGGCATGAAAACGGATATCCCAGTAAGAATGTTAATGTTTGACTTGATAAATTGTAGATTTGAAATTATTCTAGCTCGAGCAACCCATATTTAAATCTTTTTTCTGAATTTTTCATGTATGCTTTAATTTTTAAAGATCCCATCCCGTAATCAATATGCTCGTTTCTTAATTTTCCCGTAAATTTTCAAAGTGGTACATGTTATTTTGTGCAAATGTGATGATGGCCAATTTTGTTGTAGGGTTCTTCTTGTTTTCTCTTGTTGGATGCAAGGCTAATTCTTTAGTAAATTCTACTAAAATCTGTGACTACGTATAAAATCTACCCTTATCTGGAAATTACCATAACTAACTGGGATAAGATATGAAACCTAAATGGGGATTAGACAAGAAAACGACTATCTATTCACGTTCAGACAACCATTGATATCATCACTAAAGGATGGAAAGTGAGAATGATTCACTAAGAAGAGAGTAGACCCAACTTGGACTAAGTTAAAAAAAAGAACCAATGGCTCGTTCGGATAAATTGTTTCCATTTTGGGTATTGGGAATAACTCAACAAACTGAAATTTCATTATTTCCCTTCTTAAGTTTAAGATCGTTCAATTTTCTTCTTGGTATTTTGTATTGAAGAGATTAGTGCTAGAAAGATCAATGAACGTACAATTTATATTTCTTTACAAGAATTTGAGATTTCATTTAGATAAAATGAAAGAATACAAAAGGGCATTGAAAAACGTAGCCCAACAAGAGAGGCTAAGCAACTAACTATACAAAGGGCATCCAGGTTGTCCTATATGAGGAATTACAATAAAAAGTGAAAATAAATAAAAAAGAGGTAAATTTTTTCGATCTTGTTGATGCCTGGTGACATTATTTGAGGTAAAATGAATCAACGGTTCCTTAATCTTCCAAGAATTTTTCTTCTTCTTGGATATTCACATTGTATATCAGGATATTCTGAGACTATTTGTTGAATCTGTTCTTCAAGGCAAGGAAGCATTAAGAAGAAGTTCAAGTAAGAGATCATTGAATTGGAACATGCCTTGTTCAAGCTTAGAAATGTGAATAAAATAACTGGAATGCTATATAACTAGAATGCTTACTGATCAGTAACTTCGGCATGCTTTGTGCAACCGTAGTGGGTGTTCCATTGAACGGGAGAAAAGTTGGTACCATGAAATTGGCCCACATCTCGGGTCAATTTATGTTTAGGGGGCAGTGTAATGATAGTGTAGCTATTAGAAGCATATTATTAGTCACTAGTTCTTGGTTGGGGTGTGAGGTAAGTTAGTGAGAATTGGATTGCTCTTCAAGAGAAGGTTAAATTTAGAGCACAAATCTTGGGAATGGTTTCTAGAGATAACAGGTGCCTTAAATGCTTAGTGAACCTTTTTATTTCACTTGGATTTTGTAAAGTACATTTCTTTTTTTTGAAATAAGAAACAAAATTTCAAGGATATCAAACAAAATTAGAATGAACAGAGATCAGAGGACGAAAGTATATTATTTAGCTTGGTAATATCGTCCTTGATTACGAGTAAGACGCATAAAGTAAATAAATCAAATATTTCAACATTAGCATATAGGCTCTGATGCTCATTTGGAACTGCCAGAAATGTACTACAATAATAGACATTTTTGCTCATTCTGATCTGGGAGAAATGCGTATTTCCCCATGTTGGATCTTTTTTGATCCTCTTGCTTCTGATTTTTGTCCAGCTTCCAGCTACTGTGCTGGACCAGTGTTTCAAATGTCATGTCTGTCACATTTTATGTGTTGGACAGTATTTTGTGGTCCACTATAGCTTTTGCCTAGACCAATGATTTCCTGCCAGTCTGCCACCACCGAAAATGCCTCGATCGGAAATTAGAACTAAAACCTGGTTGTTCGAACAGCAGAAGTGTGTGCTCGAACACAAAATGGTTCTGACATGTCTAAGTATTAAGCAGATAATCTAATAGTAGGTGGGTAGATTGATGAAATTGTCACACCAACTAAAAAGCATGGAAGATCAGCCTACAAATATAAACAGAAAAATGTACTCTTCTTTCTGAATTCTGATGCATCATTGACTATATTTGTATGGTAAATCTCAATCTTGTTCATCATGCTCTAATTGATTAATTACACTCCGTTTCAGGTGATTTTGGACGAAGCGATTGCGAAACTAAGTCCTGATTATTTTTGGCTGGGCGGTGGGGAAGTCGACCTGAAGTTAGGTATCAGGACATCAGAGTTCATAAACTTTGTTAAACCCTTCATTATCAAGTGTAGCTAGAGAATCAGTTTTCAGCCAGTTCGCCCCTGCCCAAGCTCAACGACGACTCAACACAACCGACTAATACCAACAGGATCAAGGTTTTTAGTATCGTTCTATTTAAATTATTTCTGCTTCTGAGGATCAATTGTTTGGATGGAAGCAAGAACAGAAAAAAAACTAAAAAAGTTTCAGTGCTTAGAAATGGGATTCAGCTACTTAGAATGGCGGAAGTTGTTACAATCTAACCATTTAATAGGCATTAATGATTTTGATTAAAGGACCACTTTCAACTTCAGCAATTCATTATATGATTATGATATGTGAGTAATAAAGTGAGTAGCAAACATACGCAGAATTTGTTGATCAAAATGGAGCAACTCTGCAATTCATGTACGCAGAATCAAGAACATGGAGTAGTCATATCAAAGAAATTGCCGGTGTCCTTTTGTGAACATTTATGAGGGATGCTACTTTACTTGGCTGCATCAGGGCAAGACTATGGTTTAGTTTGGCTTTGTCAACCATTTGAAAGTGAGCTTTTCTTTCCTCTTTCTTTTTAAATCATGATTTTGAGGTATAGGACTTGGATATCCATGTACCCGCCCACCTAAACTCATTCACGGTAGCTGATATTGTCATTTTTTAGTTTTTTTCTTTCGAACTTTCCACTAAAGTTTTTAAAACGCGTTTGTTAGATAGAGATTTTCATGCTCTTGATCGATGTACGAGAATAATCTGAGTGATTTAGAATTAATGAATGGAAAATTAGGTCATTTTTAAATTAATTACCTTTTATTTGGTAGGATTTTTACCATCTTGAATATGATTTTCACCGAACGAGATTTCACCCAAGAATTTGTTCATGTTGATTGAACCACGCTTAACCGGAGCTTTAAAGCTTAAATCAAGCGAAAGATGGAAAGAAGAATACAAAAATAAAATAAATAGATAAATAATAATAATAAATAAATAAATAATAAATTAAGTAACACCCAACTACTTCTCTATTAATTAACAAAAAAAACAGACCAAATGACCAACAACCACATTTTTTCATGTCCTTGTCATGCATCCATTTAAATGTTCCTTTTTTCTATTACAATTCATTTATTTTTATGAACACTAAACCAAGTTAAATATTAAGAATATATGTATATAGCTTTTATATATATATATATCTATATATATATATATAGATATATGCACGGTTGAGTTGAAAAAATCTTTTAGATTAATTTGAAATTTTGAGTGGAATGAGTTAGTGACTCGAATAACCCAAATAAAGTTCGCAACTTAATCCAACCCTCGTCACAAATACATTACTGTCAATATTTTTTCTCAAAAGTTCCATTAACATCAACATTTCTATTTAACTATAACTTATATTTAAATAGAAATAGTGTGTCAATAATCTTGACGTATAAATTTTATAATATAAGATAGTTTACAATATTCCACATGTATGATTTTAAACATCGATATAAACTTAGAATATATAATATCGAACGCTACTCAAAAGCTTATATTATATCAATCTTATTCATTATATAGTTTAACTAAGTTACTAAAAAACATATTTATCCAATTGATCATAGAAAAATATGTATAATGCATGCTTTTATTTAACACAAAAATCTTGAATATAGTAGACCCTTAGATACAATACATTGATTTTTGGAACATATTTTGAAGATCATAGGAAATTCCGAAGAGATATGAAGTTGTGAGCTAGGGTTTTCGATTGTGAATAGGAGGTTTCCTGTGGGGCTGTGCATAATCCATCACGACCATGTCTTCTCCAACCTCGTTTTCCTCGGAGTTCACCACTTTGTCTATGTCTTTGTCTTTGTCTCTGTCTCTGTCTCTCACTGGAAGCTCCATTGCCAACCTTCTAAGCTTCTTCATGCCCTGCTAAATTTCCAAGGTCCATTAATGGTGATTGTTATTTTAATATCTCTTTTCCATGCATTTATCATTCATATGCTTTTGTCTATATTAATGCCTTGTCTTGACCTAAAAATTAAATGTTGTTGTCGAAGGAAATGTTGATAGAAACGATTGGATTTCACGTGTAAACCAAAAATAATAAAAAAAATGATAATATGTCGATGAATATCTCGACCAAAAACCATGAAAACGATTCTATTATATAATTTTCACATTGGAATGATTTGATTATTTTAAAGTCGAACAAGTTCTTGATCATTATTTTTAGGTTCTTATAGTAGCAAATAGGTAAAAGAGACTACTATCAGCTCGGGGTTAGTTAGACCCATGAGCCTCCATGAGAAAGACGAATATTATCAGGGTTAAGAGCTAAACAAGTTGATATACCTTCAATATTTCAATCCCAACATTCTCCACGGAAGAAACCTCGTTACTTTTGCTTTTATCCAAACTTCTCTTGAGTTGATCCATTCGAAACCCTGGAGAGATCATACACGATTCGAGCCTCGAGCTGTGGCATAATTTAAGAAGACGAGCATCGCATGCATGCAAAAAAGTTGACAAGAATAGGAGAGCGAGAAACAAAGAAGTTGGCATGGGCATGGAAATGGAAAGAGAAATAGAGAAGAAGGGTTTTGTTTTGTTTGGAGTGGAGTTGGAAATTAGGGTTAAATGGAAGTATTTGTAATGGAAGGGAAGGGAAAAAGAGAGCATTAAATGAGGATGGAAAAACGTTTGTTAAAGAGAACATGCAGGTGTTTGGGGTATGAACCTTCAAACCAAACTCTTAAGTATATGGTGGGCTCTTCTTTGTCTCCTCAATCTCTCTCTTTTTTAACCAATGGGACTCCTACTACGTACATACTTACCTAACCTATGCATGGAGATTCGAATAATTTCAAGTCTCGTAAAGCTCGATACTAAAAAAAATTCAATAACTAGATCAAACCAACTCAATTTATACCGTGTGGGTTGAGGTATGAAGTTATTTGAGTTGGGTTGGGATCAAATAAATGAAAATTTTATGAGTTGTGTTGAGTCGGGTCGAGTTGGGCTGGGTTCATTATTTGATGAAAGTTGTTTAAATTGAAAATTCTACAACTCGAATAATTAGGTTAAGCCTAAAAATGTCCTAACTCGACCCAACCCAACCCACAAACATTCAACCATCGTCTTTATTTCTTAAAAGGAAATAATAATAATAATAATAATAATAATAATAATAAGAATAATAATAATAATAATAATGGGAGCAAGAGAAAAGAATGGGAGTGAACAGAGAAGCATGGCTTAATAGTTAGTTTGCATCTTCAATTAGGGACATGAACCACTCCAACTCCTTTCCAGCCTCCCCATTGACCCTGTTTGCCACGTGGCACTCCATCCATGTGCCTTCAACCTATTAAGGCTTGCCACGTCCGAATTCATGTTGGTTTTTTGTGGGATCTTAGGGTTTCTTGTTGTCTATGTTTGTCGTGTGGTTTGTTTGGGGAGTCAATTCGGTTTCAACATAGTTGGGTCACCACAACATGGCTGCACCAATGAAATGATTTATGTTTTTTTTTTTTTTTTTTTTTTTTTTTTTTATTATATAAATATAAGAATATAGTATTAATACGCTACCAATAGAGATGTTCATTTAATCATTACGGTTGGTTGGGACCCACCTCGATCAAAGTTGGTATTCCCCGTTTAAAAGTGGAATCAGGGAGGTTTTCAATTTCAATAGGTATGAGATCCCACGTTCGTTCGAGAGAAAAACAAATCATTTCTTATAAGGGTGAGGCGTTTTGAAATTGTGAAGTTGACGACGGTACGTAACGGGCTAAAGTGGACAATATTTGCTAGTGGTGGTGGGGTTAGGCTGTTACAAATGATATCAGCGCCAAACACTCGGTTGTGTGTCAGCGGGGAAGCTGGACTTCCAAGGGTAGATTGGAGAGAGAAATGAAATATTTATTATAAGAGTGTGAAAACCTATTCCTAGCGAGGAGAACAATATTTATTAACAGTAGGCTTGAGCTGTTACAACGAGGCTGAAAACGGGATTTTGTATTCTCCATCTCCTTACGTGCCCGCTTTACTTTATAATATTTCAAATATTTCAAATATAATGTATAAAAGAATATTAACTATCATTCAAAGTTGCTTTCACCTCTCTAAGCCCTCAACAACCAAATTTGTAAGGATCTCACCATTCCATTAGAAACCATGCATTGAGATTTGTCCTTTGAATTATTGAATTCCTTAACAACAAAATCATTTCACAATTTCATCCTAATCTCAATATCTTTCACAACATTTGATGAAGCTTCGAAAGGGGAATATCGGTTGCTCGAGCGAGGAGGTAATCGCTTAAATTTGAACCAAAGTGTCGGTGGTTCTCTCGAGCCAAAGGAAGTGAGTACTAGGATATAACGGCGGGGATCGTCGTTAGCTTCTGCATTCATGTCTAAAATGCCCTTGTTGTTGCTTAAAAAAAGAAAACATTTCGGAAAATTTTGAGTCTTTTAAATACTCAATAACTGACCCTACAATTGGAGTCGGAAAATGTAATCACATGCAATATAAAACATGATATTAATTTCTATTGAGACGTACCTAAAATCATGACCTTAAGCTACAATTCTTTACATTACTTTCATACACATAGTCTTATACCGTGATCCCTGGGCCTCGCCAGGTATACATCATATAAAAATCATATCTAAATTTCATATAACATATATCAAACAAGTCATTCAAATTAAAATGGTTCATATGAAAATTCTCAAACTACTTTTGTTATAAATACATTCAAATTAAAATAAAAAAAAAATAATGAAAATAGTGTTCAATTTGTACCTTGAGCCCATTACTGGCCCATTTATCTTCGGCATGTTTAAATTTGCAGGCTTGGGCCTTACTAGACATCCACAGAGACCTTCAGCCCAATAGCCCATAAGTTGATCCAAGCTCATTTGCCAAGGACTTGAGAGTTCAAAGGACGGAAAAAAATTAGAAGGTGTACCAAGTCGGTGCCTTCAAAACAGACATTTGCATAAGAGGAATAATGTCTATAGTTGCAAGCAAGGAAGTCAGAGGTCATATGAGACATGCGAGGGTCAAATGTCAAATGTGCACAATGCAAGTTCATATGGGTAAACGACATTGCTGCAAAAGAGGTAGTTGAGTAAAGTGGAGGAGAACTCGAGAAAATGTGTTGCAAGTAAAAAAGTCAAAGGGTTAGATGAGACATGCACTAGGAAAGTGCCAAAATGTGCGCAATACAAGTCTGCATAGGTAGACGACGTTGCTGCACTGCACTGAGCAAAGTAGGGGAGAGTCCAAGAAAATGGGTTGTTCGCTCTAAAGAAGTTCTCAA